CCAAAGCAGATTTCCAATGCCACTGAGGCTGATCATGCCGTTCACTCGAGCCTTTCAGACCACATTCGTACCCTCCGGCATATGCACCACCTCAACACCAAATTCCATGTTGGTGACTCAAATCTAAGACACCAAAGCAGACTTTCAATGCCATTGAGGGAGGCTGATCCCGCCTTTCCTGCCGAAAAGTACGCTAGAAGTATCAATCATATCTAGGCATCCTGACAAATGCAGCCCCTGGATAGCACCAGAGCGGTATGATCAAAAGCCCGTCTCAAAGCCAGATCTGGGGATGTGCGTGCGCAGTAAAGGTCGAGATCGAGCGTTAGCCAGCTGGGAACCACCTTCACGGACGAGTTACTACATGACCATCCCAACCCCACCCCAAAAAAAGTGCCTCAACCACTCCGCCACAAGGACAGCGCTGGTGGGTTTACACCTGATTGATCAGTCCTCCTAGATAAGCCCGCCAATGGTTCGTGGGCACAACGACGAAGACCAGCACTGTCAACATTGAGATGACATGGTTTTTAACTGGCACGAAACTCGTTCGGTGTACGTTTTATATAGCCATTGTGCGATAAATCAGCTGCTTCCGCGCCACGTTGTGGGCCATCTCGTATGAAGGTGCAGCTTCATAGATCAACCGCTATCCCTTGGCCTGCTGTCCAATCATAACGGGAATCTCTATGCTATGTCTACTCTTGAGTCTAAAATCTCCTGCAATCCAGTCTGGCATATCTGCCGAGGGTTCTCTCTTTTCTTTAGGCTCGCTTACTTGGCCTTGAAGACTAGATTTAAATTGTTCCTGTCTGGCAGTATACCACCTCAGGCGCTGTCAGCCACTACCCTAATTCCGGCGAAGGTCCTGATACAGAAAAGGTAGATGACTCATCAGGTTCATTCCATTGCGAGCCATGACATGGCTTCATTGCCTGCAGTGGGCAGTGGGTTCTACATGAAAACAGTTCCGAGTCCCACATGGCATTCTGGTTCAATTCAAAACAGACCATGCGTGACGGGTTATGAGCATGCGAAGAGCTCAGCCGGTGTCCTCTGTGGACCCTCAATCACGAATGACCTTGACTCTTGTTGGAAATTCCATCAATAATTGGACCACTCCTAATACAATATATAGCCGCTTCGGTTCAGCACCACAACCATTACATAAACCCCCTTTCAACGGGCCTGAACAGATGCCTCCAGCTACTTGAATTCGTACCTCATACAAGATAAATAAGTAAGTTTGGTATCAGCTCCGAAAGCTGCAGGTCTAATGCACTTAGGCATTGTTCGGTGTGTCTCTAGGTACCAAATTCTTTGAGGGTCTGGTCTGTGCATCCAATCATATGAAAGTCCAACCTTGCAGCGATTGCTATAAGACCGCAGATGCAGTCAGCATGGATTCAAACGACATTGTCATCTTGGCTACTGTTTGATACGCTAGCTACGTATGCATGGAGAAGAGCGGGACTTCGAGCGATGCAAAAGAGAATCAATCGCGTATATCATCGCGCAACACCGGTCAGTACAGAGTGTACGTGACCAAGGACGCCAATCTCCATTAGCTCACCAGCAGGAACGAAAGGCCGGCAGACCCAAGGAGGTAGTTTATGTAACCGAGATTTTACGGATGGCACAAGCCTATGGCCCATGACTGGCGACTCCGTATCGAATCCGAGCCACGGATTGAGGAGAGATCCATATAGCTTACGGAAAGCCCTCTCAAATCGCAAGGAGTTTGAATCATCATTGTGGAACGAGCCTGGCTAACACTCTAAGTACAACCGAAGTTCACAAATAAGTCAATAGCTGAGCTAGAAATCGGCTATGATATTTTTTTGGAGAGACTACATATCACGATGGTGCCACTCGGAGAGTGTCCCCCACAGTAATAGGAGTAGGCAGGAGTCAGATCATCCACTTGTGCGGCAGACATTGCATTTGACCACATCACGGGCACCGCCAAAGGGTTCGCAAAAGGTAATGGTTCGGCTACTACTTAGTAGGACCCTCAAGAACACGAACAGGCCAAGAAATATCTGCAGCCGAGTCGACATGAAAGGTACGAAGCAAATCGTAGGGCCATCAAGGGTAGAAGCAATGACGCCGATGATGAGAACGATTGCGGGAATGAGGATGACACAGGAATAGGGCGCCACGCACTAGCCGGTCTTGACACTGGGACTAACAAGGATCCTATCAATGAGACTGAACGAGACGTCAATGTACGTAGTACATAGTACATACATAGCCGGAGATCCCTGCACGCGTCAATTCATTTAGGCAGCAGGGCCTATCATGATTGAGGCGGTTCGGTTTCGACTGCCTCCCATCGCCGGAAACAACGAAATGAGGAACGAAATTAGGCCGTTGCACCTTTTTCTTCCTCAGGTGTAGAAGATCGGGCGGCTGCTGTCGCTCGACCCGTCTTCGTAGTAGTAGTGTTGACTGAGGCCATGACCGATGGTGGTCCACCGAAGCCGCCCAAGAAATCAAAAATCAAAAATCAAGATCGAGGCCCTTTGATACTGACTTAATATGAGAGCAATCTGAAGAACAGATTGCTCTTGTGTCTCTGTTCGGTTTTATCTTGAATTCCCATTCAGAATTTTCTTTTTAAAAAAATTCAAAATTCATATTTCAACTTTCAGTCTAGTCAGTCTACTCTAGTCTCTTCTACTAGCTTACCTTAGTATTAGTCTTATCTTAGTCTGGCTCTAAACTCGTGATCTGACGTGAATGCACCATGGCCAACCGCCCAACGCTTGTTGTAGGAACGATATCATTGGTCACGGCAATGATATCACGGCGTGGCCAGTCAACTCACTGATCAGCACACCCAAGGTCATATGGACGAGATTATAGTACACCAGCTAGATGTCCAGCCCACTAAAACATTATGCTGAGAAGAGTGTTAATGGTCAGTTCGGCGGCACGAAGCACAAAGAGCTATGTCGACCCAGATCAGACGATCACTGAGAATTAAGCACTTGAGACTTATCGACCACAGCCAAGACGTCACCGATGTTGTTGTGCAGGACACGGAAGCGGTCAACATGGACTTGGTCCACATCAAGAGCGATCTCCATGAAAGAAACGTAGACAATCAAGACACCAGCAGCCTCGAACTGACATCCACCTCAAAACTTGTGGTCCAGGTACTGCATATACTCCCTCACCCTCAGGTGCGGATCTATGCTCCAACAAATCCCATTCTTCTGGTAATCGAACCACCAGCTGCGCGGGAACAGCAGCCTCTAGAACATGCGTTCTGGAACCCATTCTTGCCGGCACCGATAACGAAAAAGGTGCTCGCAAGCCCCAGCGTCCGATCATTTGCACAGCGGTAGTCCGGGTCCATCAGTTTAAGACTACCGCGGCGGATTTGGTTCTCGTTCACGCCCTACTACGATATGTGATTCTTGGAGGCCTGCAAGACATTACTTATTTGCTGAATCTTATTGACGTGTGGGGTCTTGTGGCGGGGTTGTAGTGTGACGTTGAAATGGGATCTTATGATGAAATCGGCATCCACGGACTCCAATCACTGCCGTTACTTACTGAATGTCCGAGATCCAAATGAAAGGGACCTCGCTTCTGCACATAAGTGTGGAAACGATCCAGCGAACAATCTGATAAAGATCGCGCCTGCTCGAGGCGAGTGGTTCAAGGACTTCGTTCGCAATGCCAGCGCCACGTATCCCACCCCGCCTACCTGCAACTTGTCATGGATCCATAGTGGTTCGAGACAAACTTGCCACCAGGCGAGTGGACAACTGAACCAGGATCGAGCAGTGGTTGTCTCAATTGGTCAGCATCGTCTTCGCACGACCCTGTCGGAGAAGAAAGGTTGGGATGCATAATGATCGGCAGGGTTGGCTTTGTTGACAGAACAAGGTTGGAGAGCCAAACCTCTTTGGTCCCTAGCTGGGCCGTGAGATTGGTTCCGCGGCTGTGAAGCCCTGTCGCCAAGGTTTCAGATTATCCACCCTGTTGTTTTTTCAGGAACAGCGATAGCGGATCGTCGCTCTGACGTTACATAGTACGCCTTATCGTGCTCCACCCGAGAAATCCGCATGAATAGCGACCTCATCAAGCAACTCACCATGCAGGTGTGGGCGAGGCAGAGACATACTACGTACATATTACTACCGTATATGTACGTAGTATGCGGCTGTCTGTATGTGCGGCGAGTGTGCAGCCATGCAGCTGGATCTAATGCGCTGGATCTGGAATGATGGCCACATGGAGCAAGACTGACGGACAGACTCACAGCTCTGCGTTATCCACTCTCGACAAGACACAAGCACTGCAAATGGCTTTCCGGAACATGACCGGATCCGTTCCTCACCGGTGTTTGACGTCCTCGCGTACCTGTGCTCGGTGGCAGCCAAAGGTAACAGCCACCTGAATCTGGTCAAACTCTATTGCCGTAACGTTGAGCCGCGCGAAGTGGTTCGTTGAAAAGGAACTTCTACGTACCCGAAATAACCTACTGCCTACGTACTAGTACGGATGATGTCGCGGCCAAGACAGAAGAGAGACAGCACTAGACCGCATCCTGGTGATCTACCATCTGATTGCCGCCTTATTTTGGACATTGCCATGTTGCGTCGGCATAGTTTGGTATCTCTCCTTTTCGGTTGGAGAACCCATTCTTGTCCATATCGGGAAGTATAGAGATCTCTGGCTTACCTACAATTGGTTGATGCGAGTCGTAGGCTTCCACCTCCGCCACTATGACTGCATGTAGGTTACTCGAGGTCAGTACGTATTTTACCTGCTTGGCCATGTCTACGTCGTGCTCGTGCCTCTTGTCGGTTCTCTCGCCTCGTTGTTCGAAGGAAGCCTCCTCTAATATCTAAGATATTTCCCTTCCATTCTTCAACCGTCACTCGCTACATCGTCACTCGCTTCATCGTCCTTCACTACATCGTCCTTCGCTAGATCTTTGTTCCTTTTTCCTTCTCCAGATCCCCGATGAGGACACCTCAATGATGTACTGGAATCGTGTGATCGTATTGCTTGTTGCACTGCCAGCCATCAGCGCATTGCGGTGGCATCCAGATCATGTTGGATATAATTTGAACGAGAATGAAACGGCTAACCACCCTAGAGATTACTGGGGCGAGTGGGATAATCATACCTACCATCCGTCGCCGAAGAACTGGCGTATACCTTTCTATGCCGTCACGATCGACAGATATCTGGATGGAGACCCGACGAACAATGAAGCAAATGGAACAGTCTTCGAGCATCATTGGCTCACTAACCAGTTCAGATTCGGAGGAGACACCAAAGGCTTGCAGAATGATTTGGATTACATCCAGGGCCTGGGGGTCAAGGTCAGTTGTGACGCTTCTCGTGTCGGAGGGGATTCTAACGAAGATGTGTAGGCTTTCTATATGGTCGGAAGTCCGTTCCTCAATAGACCATGGTCAGGTGATGGCTTTGGGCCATTGGATTTTACCCTCTTGGATCGTCACCACGGTGCTATAGAGGACTGGCGCAATCTTATCACAGAAATACACCGCAGGGGTATGTATGTCGTCTTCGATAATACTATGGCTACCATGGGGGATCTTATCGCTTTCGATGAATACGTCAACGCTACCACACCCTTCAACTTCCGGGAGTACGACTACTTGTGGAAAACCGGAACGAGATATCACGATTTCCAACCCGGCAACGACTGGAATGCGTCGTGTCGATGGCCAAGGATCTGGGGACAAGACGGCTTCCCTCTTACGCAGGATATCTTGGACCAGATGGTTGGTTGTAAAGACAGCGAGTTTGACCAGGTGATGCGCCTCTAAGATATTGATGGAGATAAGCACTAACGCCTTCCAGTACGGCGATATCAAAGGTACGGGGGCTTACCCAAGTTACATCAATTCCATGTCGAAATTCGCTTCTGTACAGGATCGATTACGAGAATGGCGTCCTGATGTTCTGGAAAAGATCAAGATTATGTCATGCATGCAAATCGCCATGTTCGACATAGATGGCTTCCGCATGGACAAGGCACTGCAGACCACCGTCGACGCAATGGCGGAATTTGCCGATTTTCAACGCCAATGTGCTCGCAGACATGGAAAGGAAAATTTTCTCGTGGTTGGTGAGGTGGTCGGAGACCCAAACTTGGCTTCGGTCTACAACGGTCGTGGAAAGCAACCTGACCAAGCACTCGCAAACATTGAAGACTCAGTTTTCTCCAGTAATGAGACCGACCCCGCAAGTTTTATCCGACCCTTCGGAATGAGCGCCTTGGACGGAGCAGCGTTTCATTATGATATCTATGGAGCAATGACCAGGTTCCTCGGTCTGGATAGTCCTTGGGGCGCCAGAGGAGTGGACTGGGTGGATCAATGGAATTTCATGCTCACGCACAATGATATGGTCAACGCCAATACCGGAGAGTTCGATCCCAGACATATGTTCGGAATGACCAACCACGACGTCTTTCGATGGCCCGCTCTGGCAAATGGCACACAACGGCAACTACTTGGTCTCTTTGTTACCATGCTGGAATTGCCAGGTGTACCCTTACTACTGTGGGGAGAGGAGCAGGAGTTTTACGTCCTGGAGAATCTCGCAAATGACTACGTCTTTGGCAGAGAACCGATGGGCTCGTCTAGTGCGTGGCAGCTGCATGGCTGTTATGGTTTGGGTGAGACTGTCTACGTTGATATGCCTTTTAACAGCTCAGGATACGGTTGCCATGATGACAGCGTGTCTTTGGACCACCGAGACCCAGCGAAACCTATGCGGAACGTATTGAAAAGAATGTTTGAGCTACGCCAGCAATATCCAGTCTTGAATGATGGTTACAATCTGACAACCCTTTCCAAGAAGATATACGAAATCTATCTTCCCGGTAGTGGAGGCATTCCTTCTCCACATGGTCTATGGAGCGTCTATCGAGGTCGCAGCGAAAGCGTTCAAGACTTCACTGGGATCGGTCAGGAGAACCAGGGCATCTGGATGCTTTATTCGAACGAAAAGAAGAGCAGGACTTACGAGTTTGACTGCTCAAGCCCAAACACGTCGCTTGCTCTGATATCAGCCTTTCCGGCGGATACGACAATCAAAAATCTGTTTTACCCTTATGAGGAATATACACTCGAAAGCTCGGTGATCAAGTATGGCATTGAAGGTTCTACCGAGTTCAATGGTTGCTTGCCTCGACTGGAAACTGTCGCATGGGATTACAAGGCATTCGTTCCGAAGGATAAGTGGGTCACGCCAGGCCCTACAATCACGAAGACCGTTCCCAGCCACGATGCGCGTCTCAATTCCACAGTGGCGTATGAAGAGCAGGAGTCCGTGCCTATACAGATCCGTTTCTCAAGCGAGATGAATTGTGATTCTGTCACGGACAGCATTGAAGTTGATTCTACCACTCAAGGTGGCCAGCAAGCTCGCTTGGACAGAAGGAGCGTCAACTGTACCCTGGCCAATGCTGATCCGCCTCGTTACGTTGGCGAAATACCTACTGCGTGGATTTTCAGTGCCAATGTAGAGAACGTCTACAATGGAGTGCATACCGTGACCGTGCGCAACGCAAGTACCGAAGATGGAAAGCTCTCCACAAACACTGTCGACCGCTTCATGTTCCGTATTGGACAGTCCGACAATCCAATGGTTTTTACGAAGTTGGCAAATTACACGACTACCCTCCTTCATCGCGGTCCAAAGCCTGGCCAACTGTACATATCTCCACGGGCAGCCGGCGCAGACAAGATACGCTACTCACGAAATTGGGGTAGCAGTTTCAGCAAGTGGATTGATTATACCGGAGAAAACATTACACTAGAGTCGCACGCATGGTCAGGCACCGAAGAGCAAGAATGGGAGGGTGAACATGTCATTGTACACTACTGGAGCCAGAAGAGCGGAAGCAGCGATCACGTCCAACATGCTGACCTGGAGCGAGACGGCCTCCCTCCTCGCCGATTTCCACATGTCTTTGTCCAAGGCGATTTCAACCAGTACGGCTACGACGGCGGGTTAGAAAGCGAAATGCAGCTGCATTCCGATGGCTTGTGGAGTTTCGACCTGGTGACAGATTTTCCGAGCTCCTTGGTCTTTAATGTCTGGGGAATGAATCCTGACGGGATACCGGACAAAAGCCAGTCTTTAGGAGATGTCGATGGTGACTATGTCCTTGACTGGGTACCTCCTGACAGTCTCGCCAGAAACCTTGTCAACATCACACGTCCTCCACCAGGAGGTTATATTGGCTATCGACTCACTGTGAACGATGGAACCTATGGTTACCATTTCTCCCCTGTGGGCTCATACTCCATTCAGATCGCAGTATCGGTCTTGCTCGCTCTAGTACCGATCGTCACTGCTGTGCTAGGGATTTGGATCTTCATGACGATATTCTACAAGGTCAAGTTCAACCGCGTCGGCATTGATGAGAAGAGCGGCATGCTTGCGTTCCTGAAACCCACTCCGAAGCCCGAACCGAGAAAGCTCCGCAACAACATCACGAGCAATTTCAACGAGTCCCGAGAAGTTGTTGCGGCGTCGTCAATTACCCCATCCGCTGGTGCAGCAATTGCTGACCCAAACAAAAGCCGACGTACAATGCTGATCGCTACTCTGGAGTATGAGATCGAAGATTGGGAGATCAAGATCAAAATCGGCGGGCTGGGAGTGATTTCTTCGCTGATGGCCAAACACTTAAGTCACCACGACATAATCTGGGTTGTACCCTGCGTGGGAGGCATTGACTATCCATCGGATGCCAGTAAGTTGGTTCAGGATACGCGACTGGGCTTACCTGAGCATTGCTGACCGTTGACTAGTGGCTTACCCAATGGATGTCACTATCCTGGGGCAGAAGTACGAAATATCTGTTCAGTACCACATGCTCCGCAATATTACCTTCGTGCTCCTGGATGCTCCGATCTTTCGAAAGCAGACCAAAGCAAACCCTTATCCCGCTCGAATGGATGATCTCGAAAGTGCCATTTTCTATTCTGCCTGGAACCAATGTATTGCTCTGTCGATAGAACGCTTTGATCCGGACCTCTATCATATCAACGACTACCACGGAGCTGCAGCACCGTTATACCTGTTGCCTCGAGTTGTACCGTGCTGCTTGTCTCTACATAATGCAGAATTCCAAGGTGAGTGACATTCTCGCTGGTTTTCTACTTGCCGTTTCCTTGCTGATATGCCTTCAGGTATGTGGTCGCTTGGTACTCAAGGTGATATGGACGAAGTTTGCCGTGTCTTCAACCTTGACAAGGACACCATTGAACGGTACATTCAATTTGGTGGCGTCTTTAATCTTCTTCACGCAGCAGCAAGCTACCTTCGTATTCACCAAAAAGGCTTTGGAGCTGTCGGAGTTTCTGGTAAATATGGGAAACGCTCAAAGCAGAGATATCCGATCTTCTGGAGTTTGCCCAAGATTGGGTCGTTAGCAAATCCGGACCCTGCAGATACAGCCGAGATGGACTCATCGAAACGCAGGAAAGAGGCCGCTGTGATTGACAGTGCTATGGAAGCCAGCAGACGGGAACTTCGATGTCATGCCCAAGAATGGGCCGGCCTTACGATAGACCCTGAGGTGAGTTTTTTTGATCTTCATCACCCTCTTCCGGCCTTTCTGCACAGACGCGATCTCCGCAAGACTGCACCTCAACCTCATGCTGAACGAATGTTGCCTCCCATGCATCGTATTTCACCTACGGTTGGATCTGGCTAACGAAACCCAGGCCGAATTGTTCGTATTCGTTGGTCGATGGTCTATGCAGAAAGGAATCGACATCATCGCTGATGTATTCTTTTCTGTTCTCGAGGAGAATGCCAAAGCTCAGCTGATTTGTGTTGGACCTGTCATCGACCTTTATGGAAAATTTGCCGCCCTCAAACTGGAGAAACTAGTGGCGAGATTTCCCGGACGAGTATTCTCGAAGCCGGAATTTACAGCCTTGCCGCCATGTATCTTCAGCGGTGCCGAGTTCGCACTGATACCATCACGCGACGAACCTTTCGGTCTCGTTGCTGTCGAATTCGGACGGAAGGGCGCACTCGGCGTGGGTTCGAGGGTCGGCGGCCTAGGATCCATGCCCGGATGGTGGTATACTGTGGAGAGTTTGACCTCGGCGCATCTGATCCACCAGTTCAAACAAGCCATCAGGAGTGCTCTGGCTTCTAATCAAGAAACGCGGGCCAAGATGCGGGCTCGGGCAATGGTGCAACGCTTTCCGGTCCAGCAATGGGTCGAGGATCTCGACAAGCTCCAAGCAAACTCGATCCGCGTCAACCACTACCAACAAGAACATGGCTCCCTAAGCCAGAGTCTTCTTCGAGCCTTTTCTCCTCCTGCAAGTGGCCACTCGACACCAACACTCCCCAGCAGAGTCCAGTCTCCCGTTCTGGGCAGATCTGGCTCGCCAGTCCTGGGCCCTGTGCCGCCAGGCCGGGCGCTGACACCAGTGAATCTTTCGTTGGAAGCGCTCCCACGCATTGGAAGCGACCAAAGCCTTCACAGTCACGTCCTTGGAGCAGCTTCTCTATCAGGGCAAGAGCATCAAACGTCCAGAGCGGCATCTCGCACTTGGTATCGAGCTACAAGTTCGGGTGTTCCTCTCAGCGCTCTGGCCATACCAGATAACACTTTCCATTTTGGTGATGACAATGAAGTAGAAGTTGGCCCCCTGTGGGGGTCTCGAAGAACCAGTCCACAATCGTCACGGGCTCCATCCCCACCACTCAGTCGACGAAACACTTCTTGGAATCTGCTTCGCTTCGGTGCATCTTCCAGCGCTCCGCCATCTCCTCCTCTACCACAACCAGAGATACCAACTGAAGGAAGTGTTGCCGATCCGGCAAGGAAATACCGCGACCGCTTCAGCTACAACGCAATCGTTGACCAGAAGAAAGATTTTGAGCTTCAGAAAGTGGATGTCACCTTTACTGATTCGCAGAATGAGTTTTATAACAATTTTTCACGAAAGCTCGACAAGCTTGATGCGAGTTCGTCGGAGGGTCGGTTGTGTATCGAAGAATTCCTCACGAAGAGTGAGAAAGCCTGGTTCGGGCGGTTTCACCGCGCCAAGTTGGGCATGGACCCCGAAACTGCGCGACCGACAACACTTCCAGGTCTTGTCAAGTGGCTCAAGGTCAAATGCAAGAGAGTGGGGAAAGGTGCTGAGCGTACGGAACCGGCTGAACACGCTTCGGAAGGACGTCAGTCAACACTCGAAGCTGCAGGCGACACAGAATTCTTGCTCGGAGAAGAATATGAGGCACCGAGCGGAATAAAGAGGCTCCTGCAGAAGAAGATTGGTGATTGGCAGTTGTATTGCTTTCTGTTGGCATTTGTAAGTCACTTGCCCCGATTGACCTGATTCTGTCGGCTTGACTAATCTGTCCCAGGGCCAAATCGTAGCTGCGAACTCCTATCAGATTACCATTCTGACTGGCGAATATGGTAAGGCTGCGGAAAAGCTCTATGTCGTTGCGGCCATCTACATCGTGGCCACTGTTATCTGGTGGTATCTCTTCCGGAGGGTCAAAGCTCTCTATGTCGTCTCGCTTCCCTTTGCTTTCTACGGACTGGCGTTTTTCGTCCTTGGTATGGGCCTATATGCGCCTAACATGGCCGCCACGAACTGGGTCTTCAACGTGGCAACCGGACTATATGCCGTTGCCTCTGCCAGCGGCTCTCTTTACTTTGTTTTGAACTTTGGCACTGAAGGTAAAGCAACGGCATTGCTCTCCAAACTCACCAATCAATGCTAACAAGACTGTCTAGGTGGGACTCCAGCACAGACCTGGGCCTTCAGAGCCTGTGTCATCCAAGGCACCCAGCAGATCTACGTCGCATTTCTTTGGTATTGGGGTGCCACGCTCAACACGGCATCCGATAATAGTGGACCTCCATTCTCGAGCAAAGCAGTGACGGCCATTACTGTCCCCATTGCGGTATTGATGTGGGCTGTTGGGATAATTCTCTACCTGGGACTACCTAATTACTACCGACGCCAACCCGGAAATGTCCCTTCGTTCTATCGATCCCTTTTCCGACGGAAAAGCGTTTTGGTGAGTCTCACCTATCCCTTTCTCTCCGCCTGTCATAAAAACAATCTGACTGTGACGCAGTGGTTCTTCGTCATGGTAATCCTACAAAACTACTTCCTCTCCGCAACCTACAATCGCAACTGGAAATTCCTCTGGAGGTAGGCCGAAATCCACCCTCTCCTCAGAAAGCGAGCTAATATCTGACCGCCAACAGTTCCCAGCACACGCCAGGCTGGACCATCATCCTGCTCCTCCTCCTATTCTTCGTCCTCGTCTGGACCCTCCTCCTGTCCATCCTGGGCAAACTCTCCAAAGCGCACGCGTGGCTGATCCCCATCTTCGCCATCTCGCTGGGCGCGCCGCGCTGGTGCCAGATGCTCTGGTCGACCTCCGGCATCGCGCTGTACATCCCCATCCTCCCGCAGACGCCGCTGGTGGGGGCGCTGCTCTCGCGCAGCCCGCCCTCCAGGGCATCGGCTTCGGCATGATCCTCCTGCAGACCCTGACCCGCTTCCACGTCGCCGCCGCCCTGTGTGCGTCGCAGGTGCTGGGGTCCGTCATGACCATCGCGGCGCGAGCGAGCGCGCCCAACCGCGTGGGGCCCGGGCCCGTGTTCCCGAATTTCGGACTGGTGGGCACCGAGGGGTTAAGGAGTGCTTGGTTCTGGGCCGCGCTGGTCGCGCAGCTGCTCATCTGTGCCGGCTTCGCCAAGGTGTTCAGGAAGGAACAGCTCTTCAAACCGTGATTCGTGATTCGTGATTCGACTCGCGACGCTATCTCTTGGGGTTTTGGGCATGGCAGGTTAATGGCGTTGTGGAGGAGGGAGATGCATTCCGATGCTGATGCTGATGGTTTGGAGGAAAAAATAGAGGGGAAACGGGCATATGGGTGTGGATCTTTCTTTTACTTATACTTATATTGCGCTTCCCGGGCCTTTTTTCTTTTGCAAGGTTGCTGACGGAAGACTCGACACGACACGACACGACACGA